TGTCACTGGAGGTCTCGCCGCTGGACTGGACGGCGCCACCGGGAAACGCGCATCCCGCTTTTTTATGTTCGCGCCAGGGTCAAACCACTCGGTCGTCGACATTCCATTGACGCGAGTAGCGCCGCCACGAGGGGCCTGGCCTACCTCTACCGGGGACGCGGTGATATCGCCCGAGTGATCATCACAAGGAGGTGCCTGCGACACCTTTCTCAACAGGGGAGCCTTGACGCCATCCGCTCTCAACCTCTCCGTGGTTGCCACCAAAGATTCCGCCAGTCCCAATACATGCTCCATGCGACCGGCAACGTCCAAGTGGTTAAAAGTCAACCCACTGACGTGAGGTAAAAAAATTGGCACATAGGTGAACTCGCGGTTATGCTGAACGTGATAAGCGTCTTTGCATCCGCCGCACTTGAAACTCGAGTGATAAGACGAGTAGCAGGTGAAAAAGGGAACGCGTTGGAAGTGCCGAAAATGGTGAAGGAAGATCTCCGTGTTGGAGGTTGCGATGTGCGTAACCAGCTTAAGTTGTTCGGGACATGACAACGCGTCGAAAGTCGCCTGGAAAAAAATCGAAGCATACACTTCCGAGCCGTGTGAGCATCCACGAGTCACAGATGTCCCCGCATAGGAAACACTGGACTCCAAAATAGCTTAAACTAAGCTGGCCGCCACTCCATTGACTAGGACCCGGAATTGATAGTGCAAGTGGTGTCTGCTAAGCAAAGTAGCAGGTAGCAATGGATTAGTAATCTCGTCGCGCTCCAGTATAGCTGGACACAGCATCTGAAGACGCTTACCGCGAAACAGAATTGTCTTGACATGCCAGCTCGCAGCAGCAGCTTGATCCGGCATATTGAAAGTTAGTCGCCTCGTGTCGGCGTCGTAACTGGTCCGCTTGGCACCCTTGACCAGTTCCCGACTCATGACATCGGGCTCCGTCTCCTCCTCGTGTCGTTCCAAGAGTTGTAGAAGCAACGTCTTCTCCACGATGTATTGAGGCATACGCACATAAGGAGGAACAATCGCAACAACCTTGCCTTCGAGGTACGCTTCGAAAAATTCAAGCATCACTACCCTTGTAGCCCGCGTGTGCGTGCAGACTATAAATCCAGGCGGAGAAGGCAACACGATGCTACCCATCATCCATGCCGCAAGAGCCTCCTCCTCGATCGGAATCATTGAACGCAGATCATCGTCCGGCTTCGCAACCGACGCCCTGGTGGCCGCGCGGAGCAGGACCGCCGTGTGATCCTGGGGAGCATCGGTCCCCGCAACACCATCGGCGGAGATTGGGCGGGAAAAATCGACCGGAGCAGCTTGAAGAAAGTCGGAATGGGTAGGTCGGCGAAAGTTGTTAAACTCCGGTCGGAAAATTTTGCCCGAATCCGGTCGGCGAATTTTGCCCGAATCCGGTTGGCGATTTTCGTCCGAGTCTGGTTGGCGACAGATTGGCGACAGACTGCATTAGCGTACGAGTGTCGCCGACCTGTCGTCTTAAGTACGACACCCGGGTCGCATGTACCATGCCCTTTCCCAACAACTACGGGACGCATAGGCGGACGGTCACCTCCCCCGTCTCCCATCACTCGCTCCTCGGAGATATCGGGTAGGTGAGCACCCCTCCCGGGAGAGCTGTGCATCCCCGTAAAAGGTGTCTCAGCGCTGTGCATCTCTCGGCCGTCGGCAGGTTGCATTAGTGTTGGCACACTTCCACGTGCCAGTATTTGGGTCTGCGTACTAGGTGGCAAACCTGGACGTATTTAGCTTCATGGCTGAATACAACGGCATCGTTGTCATCAGGTTTTCCATCCTACTCACCATCTTGGGCACACGCTTCGAAGTCTTCGAAACAAATGGCTCGATCCACCCTCGCATCCGCATGGGTAATGGTAGATTTCGCCAAACTCGACTCACCACGCGGCATCTTTCCGGCTATTGCCGATGTCGTGCCGCTTGCGTCTTTTGATTACACGACCATAGTGCTACTTGGTTGTTTGGTACCTGCTACAACAATCGCACACGCTGGATTCCCGGGTCGCAAAACCAGTTGTGGTATAATAGTTGGTCAAATCTGTTCACTCACAGTCTCAACGTAACACCACAACAATCGCCGAGATAGTCGGCGCAGTCGAGCTTGTAAGTCGGGTCGATTATCTTCGCGGTTCATCCCTTCTTGGTTCAGTTGTGGCTCTTGCCTAGCTGAACAACTCCAACTACTCACACTCCTATCTACAAGACTGCCTGATTATAGCTATTTCCATTCATCTCGTGCTGTAACCTTGTACCAATGGGTAGACGTCGACGTTTTCACGCTTTTACAGGTCACCGAGCGCAGTATACGTCCGACTGGAAGCCTTACGGTGTTCTTGGTTCAAGGCCTACCGGCTAGTCGCTTGAAGATTCTTTGGACAGTGCCGTCTATTAATTCAACGTCTCAATGTGCGACGAGACTTATCTTTCGATGGAAACGAGTAATGCACACCACGGGACGACTTAACTCTTGGCGCTTCCAATCGAGACTTCTATAAGCTGTACCCATCGGGGCTTGACAGCAGGCGTTACCCAGCTTGCACAGGGAATTACCTTAAAAGTGTACACGTGTCTTAAACTCGGAAAATTCTGCTCTGTATTAGCTATCTTCGCTCTTTCCTGATTGCAAAAGGGACCCTGTAGTGGCTTTACTTCATCCCCCAGTTGTCATATACTAATACTTAGTGGGATCGACAATTTATCGTCTTGATCTCTCTTCGCTGCTTGACTCGTCGAATCTTAACTCGTCCAGTCTTGGCTTCTTGAGTTGAGCTTTGGATACTCGAGCCTTAGCCCGTCAAGTCTTGGATAGTTGGGCCTTAACTCGTCGAGTTCTCATTCGTCGCGTCTTACCTCGTGGACCCTTATATCGTCGAGCCTTATTTCGTCGACCTCGATGTGCTCCAAATTTCTTCGTCGAGTCCACCACTCCTATTATCAAGTCAATAGTAGGGAATACCACGTTCGGAAATTCCCTACATCACATCACACTGCACACGGTTCGCTACCACGTTGCACCTGGAAAAATTAGCGGTGAAGGGAGCTCAGTAGCAGCAGCAGGCGAACTAACAATTGCTGCTGAACCTTCACCTGCATTATGGTTAGCTACACTCATTCGTTCAGCCGCATAGGTAGCAGCCTTTGTTGTACGCCGCATGGATTTCGTTATCATGGGAGTGAATGTAGTAATGCATTGTATTGACCAACGAGTGCTCCCGATGCTAATTGGCTCGGGTCGATTACAGCTAATGCTTCGCGCAATACTTTATGTCTGAAGAACATATCAAAAAAGAGATATAGCATCACTGAACAAGATACCGAGACATTGTTTGCACGGGTAAGCTCCCCATTCCCTCTGCGATAGCGCGATAGCCACGAGTCAGAAGAAGGTGAGCTGGCCAATAATACATATTTACCAATTCTACTACGGTTGCTTTATATTCGATAACTACGGCGGTGTGTCAGCTCTAACTTGTCAGGCCTGCTTGTACCAGTCATTAGAAAGGTGGCTGTACATTGAAACAATGTGTCCCCAGCGTGTTTGTTTTGCAGTGTAAAATGGAGAGTGAATCACAACTTTAAATGTTTATGTCTGTTCTACGCACCTGTTGTTGTGCTGCAATATGTATGTAGGCCAACGTCTAGAGCTACGTTCTAGAATCTCACACAATTGCAACCTTGACATCGCAACCTTTTTTGTTCCAGAGTAGAATCCTTTCGACCGTTAAATTTGCACCTCTCCAACTCGTATCATCCCATTCGAGACACAGACATCTTTATCCCACGCGGCACATGTTTCTTACAATCATTGCCTTCAGCATCGCCTGCACATTCTTGGCCTTCTCCGTCTTGCTAAGCTCTCATACCTTCATTTCAATAATTCTGAATCCATCCTCCATTGTTCTACGCCTTATGGCTACCGGAATCATACTGATTGCGCTTGAAGTCGTCCACTCTCAAGTATATTTGCTGTGGTACGGGAGCTTGGAGTCCCTTCGAGACTTCTATATGGTTCGACATCGTTTTTGTTGGGGGTCTGAGCTTGAATACCCCGATAGCCGGATCGAACGGGTTAGTATTTTGCGTTTACACCGATGGGGACCCTTGCCTGGACCAGATCAGCAAAATGGAAGCCTTCATGAAAAGTGCGAAAACATGGGACGCATTTATAAATTACTAGCTCTTTTGGTGCTCCGTATAATACTGCGACACAAAAAACAGCAAGAAACATCGTTGTTTGTGCAGTAAAATAAAACACGAATAATTTACAGAAAAATCACGTTTTGCATTTTCATTTGACGTGTGTGGAACGATGGTCACGGTCACGGTGGAGCGGAGCAACAAGTAGGAAACCGTGTCGAATTAGTCGAGGCGGTAGTGGATGGCATCGAGCAACGGTTGACTTCATTGTGCAAAGCGTGCTGTCATACGAAGCAACTTTATGTCTTACCGCGATTGTAGCGTCCTAAGATTCGACCAGCGCGAGCAACAGAAAAACCGTGATTCACCAAAAAAGGCTGGTGTAAGGGCGAGCATCTAGAATACCATGCAAGGAAAATCCTCGCGCATGCGCTACATGTGTCTGTGCACGTCTGTTTTCGTAACGACTGCACGAAAAGGTGCTAACAGTGCTTCCTTCCAAATGTTGAGCACCGAGTCGCAAAGGGTACGTCTTTCGCCCGGTGTGCAAGATGATACGCCAATGGGAGTAATCAGACGTGCTGTGACTACACACAACCGAAACAGCCCCACAGCAGACTTGCAAAAAGATTACTCTCAATCCCATTGATGCGGCGTTCGTTACTAGGGTAGGCCATATTGTCGCAATCTATAGTGATATACCCATCCTCAGAAGTGGTACTGGTGTGCAACCTCAGAGGGAACTTATATTCTTGCTGCGACACACGTGTCTCAACTTACTGGCGTCAGCTTCATCACAGATTGTTGGACGGGTCTTGCAAGCCAAGCTATGAGACGCTACATTTCACTGATCCCCTTGCCTTGGTGGGTTTCGGGGCACTGACCGGGGCGCTCACCGGGTCAGCAAACTCGCGGTCTTCCTCAACCGTCGAGTTGTCCCCCTCGACCGTCTCGTAGTTCTCCTCGTCCGTCTCGTAGTCCTCGTCGACCGCCTCGTAGCTTCGCTGTTCCTGCCTTCCACCCGACGCCGGGGAAAATTTACCAATATGTGGCGATAGTTTGGGCTTGAGGGTCGTAGGAGGCGCTAGTCTGGGCTTGAGGGTCGTAGGAGGCGCTAGTCGGGGCTTACTAGAAGACGCGTATCGCGTACCAACGCGATTATTAGCGACGTTGCTCAGCTGGGCCTTCTTGCTTTTTACCACGGACACTGGTAAGGCCTTGCCGGTCTTCAAGTTCGTGGGATTGGTGGGCGGGACAGTGAACCGCGTAGAGTTCGGCGACTTGCACTTCGATTCGAAACCATCGACGATGGTCTTGATGTTCAAGGCGGCACCGCTAGTTCGGATCTTCATCTCGCAATCAGGCGGGTCGGCCGATTGCAAAAGTGAGATGAGCGTGTGGCATGCGAAGGCCTTGCACATAGCGTCTTCCTGCGTTGGGTTCGGCGCCGTCTTGGAGGACATCAAGTTGAAGCCCGATTTTTTGCCGCACAAGTTGACCTCCGGCAGCCGTAGGAGTCCCGACATCGAAGCGATAGCAGCTTGACTTTGATCCTTGTTGCAGAGGTCGCCGTTCACCGAGGCAGCAACAACCAGGGCAATGGCAGCGAGCGCGAAGTGTGTGTTCATCTAGAGCCGGAGAGTGTGATGGGAGTCGTGGAAAGCAGATTGCACAATGATTGAAATCGAAGGCAGTGAAGGAACTTCGAGACACACAATGGTTGACACCAAAGGCAGTGAAGGAACTTCGAGATTGCACGGACATCGGCGCCCTTGACACGAAGGAGAAAGCAGGAGTCGTCGTCACGCTAATTCAAGTCGACTGACATCAACCCAAATGTTTTAAATAGACCCTAAAAGGGCCATTTTCTTGCAAGAGCTGCTTCCTTTTTCTCACCGATTTGACGACCTCCATAGATGCCTGATCGGGAAAAACAAATCCACAGACAGATGCAGTAGAACCCATTTTGGCTACTCCCGTATCAGCTAATAATCCCTTGTAGATGTTAAAAGTTTCGGCCCGATGTTGGGCAAGAGAGGTAGACCGCGTGACAACCATACCCTTCCTACTTGATATCTTTTACTACCTCCTATTTTTATTATCTGTCAATTGTATTAGCTAAGAGGACTTCTACGTACATGGAGCGGATCCACTTCCCATCATGTCTGATATCTTCATTTACAATCCCTGACGACACTGAAAACGACTGCAAATCAGGAGCCTGTCCTTGGGCTCAACAAAATTTTCTGCCTGTCTCATCGTTTTACTGCTGGACCTTCCTAGATGGTCCGGGATCCGTGTCGCAGTTTCCCGGTGCGCCAGAGCTGCATTCCATCGCTCTGCTCTGGCTTTTTGTCAAGCGATGCAGAGACACGAACAGCCCAGTTATTGACTACAAGAATGCATCAAGCAGCTGTATGCATGTGTAAGCGACGGTGGCTGCAGTGTCGACGATTACTGTTGCAAAAAAAGGCGCTCGTATCGCCCGCTGACACCCGTATACAAACCAAAACACTGTGCACGCTAGGCTGGCATCGTGGCAATTCTATCGATCGTGCTCCGTATGAAGTACAATTGGCACAGTAACGCGCGAATAAACTTTCGCCAACATTAGAAAGAAGATTGGTGCGATCTCTTGCGCCATGTAGGTGAAGTGATGCTACACGACCAGGAAGCCGCACCTTTGAACGAAAGGTCGCACGCGGTATGGCGGTGCGACATCATGTCCGGATCAACCTTGCAAGAAAGACATGAACGTGACGTACATGCCAAAGGCGTACCTACGTAGACATTTGCGCCCATCCGCCGCAGCAAATCGGCTGCGAAATTGCAAACCTATACACGCCCAGTCTAATCTGATCGGGTGCGGTGACAAGTCTGTCGGCGCCAAGCAAACACCCCTCCCAAATGTTCACTGACCTACTCTGCCATGATAGAAAAGTGGCATTAAGATGGGAACTGAGGAGCACTTCTTGATTGTAGTGTCCTTTTCTGACTTGTTGCTTTGCGTGAGCCGGAAGTATGCGAGTTGAGGTTATCGCAGCAAGATCGCGCTGCTCTTTGTCCGCGTCACACAAAGCGGGAGACTTGACATGCATTCAACGCGCTGTATGTCCAAATGCATCGACAATGTAATCGACGAAATTGAGGTTGGAATGCACGGTAATGATTACACCTCGCCTACGCTTGACCGGTAACGCCAGAAACGAACAGGATCGAAGTGTTCGCTCCTTTCCCTGCTAATCTTCTTGTTCTACTCTGCTAATGATAGTATCCACCATTTCGGTGCCACCCGGTGACGACGCACGACGGTTGACGAGCCGCTTGAAACGGGATGACCCTATTTCGTAACATTTTAAGGGAGCCGCTATTCACTACTGACTTTTCGTCAACCACCTCTCACCCTCCATTTTTAGAAACCCTGCATACTTATCTCGCGCTGTAACTGGCTAACTGTAAATTATAAAAAGCTTTTTTAATAGAAGCGTAATTTTTACGCGAGCTCAATAAATCGATTAATAAATAGACAGGTATTCAAACGCTGTTTTTTTACTGTACTATGGTTGACTCTCCGCAAGCGCTGCCATGTTAACGGACTGATCATTCATCATTAACCCAAGTGCATTAATTCTTCCCTTGTACCAAGAGCATAAAATGTTAGTAATGCAATCACTGCAGGATTTGGAAGAGGTTGCCGACATCTCCTTCCGTTGCGTCCTGCTTCTCCGCACTTACTGCTTCGGCGTACAGGCCGCAAAGAATTTATCACAACGTTTAAACTGCGATAAAGCCCGCTGAGCAGCACTCTGCGATTAGCTTTCAGCAGTCGATGCTCAAGAGCACCAATAGGACACCCGCGGCCATGCCGGATAGATGGATTGAAGACTTTCGCTGCCAGTAGCATAACTAGGCGATCAAGGACAACTCGCTGTCTGTATGAGGTTTCTCATTCAATTTTTTCTTGGATGCATTTCATTATTTCCCCGATGGATGTGGAGGTGCTACATACATTACCTATTGTCGAGGAGGCCGCATCAACAACCAGTGCGAAGCAATAGGTTCATGCTGATGTAAGTGGTGTTTTAGCCGTGATGTTTGTGTAGAAACTACATATCGACCGTTTTATTGCGAGCGAGATCAGTGTAAGAGTGTTTAATTCTAAATATTAACCAGGCAATCACAAAATTTTAAAATGGAGGGTGAGTGGTGGCTAGCGAAAAGTGAGTGGTGAATAGCGACTCCCTGTTTAAGCGATATTTGTCGATTCAAATATAATCTTCACAGGTACTCTGAGAAAACATTGCATCAAAAAGGTATAATTTAGTGTTTGTAATTTATTGGTGGCTACACATGCTATTATACTTGCAAAAATGCGTCCAACCAATGATGGGTGCGCGCAATGTGTGGCTGGCAGATGGTAACAGTTTGTGTCTCTTGTAATTTATAAAAACAAGTAGATTGCTACAAATTTATGACAGCTTAACTATATTTAATACAGTTACCCTGTAACTTGACGTCTTCAGGGTAGCTTCGACATCGCGGGCCCTTTCGTGCATTCACGCGGCACTTGCAACAGATGGAACTCGCTGCATGGAAATGACACATATTGGGTCTTCAAAAGTATCATTATATCGATGACAAAAACAATATGCACCTTGCTAAGTAAATAATGAAGAAACAACACCGTCGGACATAAAGTTCGGTATTGGTATATAAATAGGTCGAAATAGAATATGATTATGTCAACCTGGTTATTTATTATTTACCGCGAGATGAGCACAATGAGTGTATGACAAAAGACCATATTACATATTTGTGGTCTGCTACAATTAAAGTGCGATTAAAAAGATTAGAAGATTCGGGCTAGTATAAGCCACACTTCTTACCAGATGGCTAGTAAGCCCTTGTACCGATACAATTCAATGATGCGTGCACCCAAACATCACGTACGCATTCTTGCGATGAAGAGAACTAGCTGAAGCGAACAAAATACTCACAGTCCGAGGAAAGTAAATGTATTTATTGCACTCAGGTCTATCATCGATCTTATTTATCTTACTTTAAACCATATTAAACTACATGCTTCCAATGTACAATCTGACGGGATTGTTGTTTCATTCGGTTGATACAACGGCCTTCGCAAATGATTGTGAAGAAGCGCCTAAAATTAACTATGAAGGTAATATTCCAACAATATTGACTTGAAAAAGTAATATTGTTTGAAACTTTCAATATTCATATTATTTTCATGGACATTATTCTTGTCTACGACAAATAACAGATTTACCCCCAATATATCCCCCACCTCCCCTCAGTCATCTAGGGACCGATTACTGGCTGAAATTTAACAAAGTGACTGTTTTGGTCAACATGGGACAGGAGGCAGTTGTTGGGATGAGCCAAAGCATCTTACATATACTCGCATGATTATCAAGTACATGTGGTGTGCAGCAAAGGCTGCTGTGAAGGCGGATATACAAAGGCGAGCATCTTTCCAGAAGGCATGTGAAGACTCCATAGCCAGTGTTCGCTCGCCTAAATCTGGTACTTAGCAGCCTGCAACTGGAACGCTTTACGCGTACATGGCAATGGACCACATGTAGCCTGCAACGGGGTGAGCCTGTTGCATGTAATAATCAGTGACAATAATAATGTTAAAAGTAGATATTTAGCACAATATTGTCATTACACTTTTTACTGAGATCAGCGATATATTTGAAGTGACTCAAGGCTCTACTCATTAGGCTATTTAGGCCAATATATTAATTCAAAAAATGTTGATAGACGACCGCAATATGTGGTGGGGAGACGGTCACGATACTTGTTGTTATGTTAATATAGTGAAGATAGGACTGATAGGTTGGTTAATTTTATGTATATTCGGGTATGCGAAAGACCCACTATATCCGGTAAATTCCAACCATGTTTTATGAGAGGTAGTGACAGGATTTTAAGCTACTGTGGGAATTGTACTACGATTATCATCCCAGGGGTTTTTACACATTGAGGGAATTGAACCGGCAGTCATCATCTTAAAGATTAGTCTACTGCACCACTACATGGTAGGACTGATCAGACAAGACACTATAGGACTAGATCACATCAATACATTTCACTTTTCCATGACTAAGTGCAGTCGCTTTTATCCTGGGTCTTCCTCTAGCGTAGCGTGTACGTTAGCTAACCGAGCACTGACCCGAACTGTTTCAGTTAGATCTTTTTACGTACTGAATCAGTGCATAGATACAAGTGCACCGTACACTTGGTAGCACTTCGGTGTCCCCTTCAACGACCGCAACTTTCTCACCCGGCATTAACGTGCTGGACGATGATGACTGCGAAAGCTTCCACGCCGCGCGTGAGCGCTAATCTTAATTATATGATTCAACGTAAAGCACGGTCGAACGTATACTTCGACCGTGGGTGAGAATACTGTTTGGTCCATTCCGTCCGCATTGGAAGATCTGACAGCATTCCTCCGTCGCCTTATTTAACACAAAAAAAGTTGACGCGTCTCTAGAAAAGGTAACCTTGCTTCACCAGCTAGACTCTGAACATGCGGATCTGTTGAGGGAAGAAGGCGCTTAAGAATTGGAATTTGTGAGTCAACTCAACGTTCAGTCTGATG